TAGAGAGGTTTTTTTCTGTAAGTTTGTGTAAAACCAACTAGTTCTTATTTGAATGAGAGTTGTTGATGTTGTGCAATCTTGTGTTGTTATCACTTTTACGTTTCTTTAGAACTTCAATCTCTCTAACTCTTGTTCTTCACTTGAAATCAGGTCTCCAAGGGTTCTTGGTTGCTTTTAGTCGAAGAAAACAACAGCTCTTTGTGAATGCATCCCAAAATTTTGACCTAAAAACCGATATTTATACTTTCCAAATTATAGCTTCCACGTCGTGACCATATGATCGCCACACCGTGAAAATTATTCCATACACGTATTCCTCAAGCTTCATTAATGGTCAATTGAGAAGGTTCTTATGGCCATGTCGTGGACCAAGGAATGCCACGTTGTGGGAATTTCCTTTTATACACAATTATTCTCTTCTTCTTCTTGATGGAAGCTCCATCCTTCAAGTTTCCAGCTTTACTCCGTTTTGGTCTCTTTTTACGAGAATGTCGTTCTTTGGCTACAAAATAGAATTTATATTTTATAAGTACCAAATATCTTTGTATTAAACCAAATTATAGCTAAAATGTTTTGAAATATTGCGCAAATATATGTATAAATATAACAATATCATGCTACAAGTTTTTTCCCCCTACTTATGTGGCTGATCAACAGTATGCCTTCTTTATGCACCCCTTTGGTGTTTGGAAGATAGGAAGGGATTTTTTTTTTGTTGATTTGGCGATAAAACGACCAAGGGCGGTTAGTTTGTCGGGCGAGGCCTACATGTGTTTTAATCCAATTTGACTTGGCGTTTCTTTCCAATCTTTGATTTTCGTTAGGTTTCGTTGAATTCCATTTTCAGTGATAAAGTATCCCATAAATTTCCCTTTCTCCGGTTCCAAATGTGCACTAAGCACCCAAAACTTGTAAACGGGTATTGGTATAATTAACGACTTTTATCATTATAAAATATAGACTGTAATATCATGCGTATAGTTCTCGGTGACTAATTTTGAACATAGTTTGTTAACATTAGCTCTAAATATAACGCTAATAAATGATAAGTAATTTAAAGTTAAACGGTTTTGCATAAAACTGATATTAAATTTCATAATTTATACAATATAAGGCTGGACGGAGTGGCTTCGGCAATAGGCCCGGCGACCTCCGGGCCGACTCCTTGGCATGCCGAGCTCGGTTCGGCAACTCGGTAGAGATGTGTCGGGTCTCTTTCTTCTTCCTCCCTTCTTCCTCCTTCCTTCTCCCCCACTCGGCAACCCGTCCCTCCCTTCTCCCTCTCTTCTTCTTTTGGGTTTCTTCTCCCCCTTTTTGTTGATGTGGAGTTCAACAATAGCTACACGACTCCCCTAACATGAATCCACATGACTAAAAGTTATTCATTAATGTTGTTCCACTTCCCACCCCTCATGTCATGGACCCATGCCTTTGAATCCCATTGCAAATCCGTGTTGTCCTCCCAAGTTTTTTACTCTTTTTATTGAAAGTTTTGTTCTTATATTTTGATTTACCAAAAAAATGAAATAAAGTATTTGGACTTTACATTATTACGTTTTGAATTTTGATTACCAAAAGTATTTAATTCAAGAGTGTGTTCGTTTTCTTGGGACAAATTGATGATGTTTTACATTTTTGTAATATATTTCATAATAAGTTTAATGAGAGTTATAAACGAAATAGAATTTCTCACCTAAAATAGGTACCATGATCCTTACTATTCCTAATAAAAATGCAAACCAAGAACAAAAAATGAAAGCCAAATAATAAGTTTTTAAATCAAAACTAGTGCACCTAATTAGGGGCTAAATTAGTAATTGACTAATTGGAGTCTAACGCCTAAACTTCGAATAAGTGGCCTGAATTTTTATGAGGCGCTCGATTCGTTACCACCGACAGTTACGCTCGTGTCTCGCCGGTTTCCTCTTCGTTCTCGCCGGACATTTCCTCAAGGGATTTCCCCTTCGTTTCTGGCACCAAGAAAGTACACATGGTTCCCAGAAGATTGGTCACACCCAACACAATCAACGAGTTCTTCACTCCGATTCCCGGAGGATACCCTTCGGACGTCTTCTTTGGATCTTTACTCTGAGCCAAGTACAAGAACCCGAATGCCCCAACTATCGCTCCCAGTTTCCCAGATGCTGCTGATATTCCATGGCAGGTCGACCTCAGTCTCGCCGGAAAAATCTCTGCCGGGACAACGAATGTGGTGGCGTTTGGCCCGAAGTTGGCAAAGAAGAAAGTTAACGAGTAGATAACTACGAACTTAATGTTGTTTTCGGGATGAGTCCAATAGTTATAAGGGAATGCTAAAACAAACATGAAGATTGTCATCATCGAGAATCCGAGGAGTTGAATTGTAAATCGTCCCATTTTGTCGATCAAAAACACGGTGAACCAATATCCAGGGACTGTGCTACAAAGGGCGATGAGAGTTTGAGCTCTCGCGATTTTGTAAACTTCTTGAATTGCGTTCATGGTCTTTGCCGGAGGGATCCATCCGATGGCACTGAATATGTCTTTCTGGAAAAGATTCTGACTGTAGAATGCGATATCAAGCAAGAACCAAGTGCTCGTAGTTCCGAGCAAATGGAGGCCATGGCGTTTGGCAAACTCTTTACTAAAAAGCCCGAAACTGTGTTTTGAATCCTCCATCACCTCATCAAGCTTCTCTTGCTCAGCTTCTATGTCGACTTGAAGAACTTTAGACATGTCGGAAGCTGCTTTCTTGGCGTTTTTCGCCACCAGAGCAGTGAACCGGGCTGTTTCCGGCATCTTCATTCTCCAGTAGTAAGTTAGCAGTGCTGGAAGAGCTCCGACCATTAGAACAATCCTCCAAACGTAATCAGCTTCTGGTACCGTGGACTTTATCGGATCTACTTCATATGGCGGTGCTTTGAATCTGCTATTAAATATCGCCGATATCATTATGGCAAACACTCCTCCTCCCAAGATCCCGAATCCTTGCATGGCAAAAACCGCCGCTATAAACCCACCACGGGTTTTCTTATTGGAATATTCCGACATGATGGTGGCTGAGAGGGGGTAATCACCACCGATCCCAAACCCTAACCAAAACCGGAAAAAACAAAGAGTAGTCATCACCCCCTTTGGGTGGCTGCCAAACGACAAACCGGAGGCGATGGAGCAAAGACACATCAGCATGAGCGTGATTCCATACACTTTCTTTCTTCCCAGTTTATCACCCAACCACCCAAAAAACAACTGGCCGGCTAGGGTTCCGACAAGTGCAACACCGTTCACGGCGGCAGAGACCTCAGGTGGTAAACTTCCCGGCGTTGGCGATCCTTCTTTGTGATAGTAAATACGGCCAAGCAATTTGGTGACGAGAGAGATGCAGAACAGATCATAAGCATCCGTGAAGAACCCCATTCCGGCGATGACAATCGCCGTGAAGTGGTACCATTGTGTTTTTGCTCCGTCGAGCGCATTTAGGACCTGTAAATTCCCGGTCGACGGATCCATTGACGGATCTTTCTTCAAAGAACCTAAGAAAAATCAATACATATATATGAGATCAATGGAGTTCATTCATGCATGTATTCAATTAAAAAAATGAAAAATGATGGAAAATTTTGATATACCTGTTTTTGTTCTTGTAATGGAAGTTAAAGCAGATTGTGATTATTTATAGTATTGAAAAAGAGTATTGAAACTAAAATTAAGCGGCATATTCTCATTATTTTCGCTTCTCCAACAACCCAGTCAAATCATACAAAAATACAAATGAATCGGATATGATCATATTCGTACCCAGAAATGTGATACAAATATAATCGCTTTCAGTCGACTACGTGATTAGGTGTTCAAATATAGAAAGATATCAACGGATTTGATATGATCATATTTCGTACCCGTAAATGCTTGTACCAATGTGATAGAAATATAAGAGTAAATTACACATTTTGTCCTTTGGGTGTCTAAAATTCACACTATTAGTCATACTTTTGGATATTTGACATGGGTGGTCCATATGGTATACTAAAATTCACACTATTAGTCATACTTTTGGATATTTGACATGGGTGGTCCATATGGTTTGCAACTGTTTCACCGGTGGTCCACGAGGGTAATCCCTGTTAACTTCCGGTGTTAAAAGCATGTGAAAAGACAAATGTACCCCCCTTTTAATTTCTTTTTTATTGACATTGTTGTTAACCTACACAACAAAAAACCTAGCCTTTAGCGGCGACAAATGTCGTCGCAATTGATTCCAGATGTCGTCGCTAAAGGTATTAGCGACGACATGTCGTCTCTAAAGCGTCGTCGCAATTACCTCGTAGCTAATACTCGTTTGTCGTCGCAAATACTGTCGTCTCTAATACTCCTGTGGCGTCGATATTTCTGTCGTCTCTATTGATATTCCGACCACTGGCCAGATTTTTTCCGGCAAAGCTTGCTGGAGTTATGTGTCGTCGCAATTAGTGCACGTCGTCCCTAAAGGTGTCGCTGCTAATGGTTTTTTTTTTTTTTTTTTTTTTTTTGAGAAAAAAACATATTTATGATATTATAGTTTATAACATAAAATGCAGATTTGATAAAAATACATAAATAAATACATACCACATTACATAAAACATCAAACATACCATATTAAATTATTACATATCTAATAAATTCTACATAAACATCTAATATATAATCCATAAACTATCTAATAAATCCAAAATAACATCATCCATAACATAAAACAAGAAATACTATGTTTCTTCGTCTTTGTCTTCGTCTTCCCCATCATTGTTTTCCTCGTTGTTGAATTGGTTTTTAAAGGAGCGGATAATGTCTCCAATGGACATCACAAATGCCGGGTTTTGAAGAAAAGCATTAATATCAACATCCTACAATTAAGTCACAAGCACAATAAGTCATTAACAATTCAACAAACTATCAAACCATTAAAGCACCAAATGAATTAAGTCGTTAACACTTTAAGTCACAAGTACTTGTGTTGGTTGCGGTGCTTGTGACTGTGACTGTCATTGGGATGAAGCACTTGTACCCGCAGCTAAAGAAGGTTTAGGCCCAATGCCTCTCACATGCCTCCTTCGTGTACCCAACACCTTCTCAAATATTGCGATCCAATCAATAGTGTCTGGATCACCACCAGAGTCGGCTATGTGATGAGTCTGTAGAGCAACCTCAGCAACTAAGACATTCTGTATTTCACAAAGATTGTTAATATGCGTTAAAACTAACACAAAAAAAATCAACAATCTACTACGATAATTTTAAGTAATAATAACTTACATATTGCTCTTCAACGAAATGATCAACAAATTCCCCTTTTTTATTCACAAGCGCACGATGAAATACTTCAAGTCTATTCAAATTATGTTTAACATTACAAAATATGTTATATTTGAATAAACACTAAAAAATATGTTATAACTGAATAAGCATTATTGTAACTTACTTTCTTGAAACAAGCCTACATAGTAGTTGCACGTCCCTCCACGATTCTTCACTACTTGCTTCTTCCGACATTCTTTGTTTCCAGCGGATCGTTTTTGATGTTTTTCTGTTAAGAAATAGTCAATAGTAGCATTCCAACGCTGCCGATCCATACCCGTAGGGGCTTGAGCCCTTGCTGCCTCCACATCCCCTGCAAAATCAATCAAAGGGTTTTTTGCAATATTTTTGCGGTCTCTATACCGCGCACATATCCGATTGTTCAATGACGCCCAATAAGTTGGAGGGAAAAACACGCGCCATTCTCTGGTGCCTAGTAGCCGTCCGATCTAAAAATAATTGAAGGGTCACGATTAAAGTCACACGGATTGCTAACAATAGCGGCGACTTTTCGTCGCAATTAGCGTCGCCGCTATTACTTGCCACCAGATGAAACCCTAACCGATGGATCACTATAACAGCCTACGGTCACGATTAAATGGCGTGTGGCACAAGAGGATCGTCGGTGGACTCCCTTTAGCGACGACAGCATTAGCGACGACAGAGTACTTTCGCGACGACAGATTCGAGTGTCGCCGCTAAAGGGAGAAGACGTCGCTAAAACTGTCGTCCCTAAAGGGCTTATTTCTTGTGGTGCTAATGGATCATTTCTATAATTTTTGAAAGAAAAGCCCTGACATCTCCATCTCCATCATCGGTAGGCCTCGTTTCGACTCAATTTATGTCCACCGCAATGCTTTACCTACGACTCCGCCTCCGTTTAGCTATGGCGCCGATATTGATGCCCACCTTCTTGGTAATCACACACACCATCACCATCTATCACTTTGATTTAGATTTTTAATCGACGTCGATGACTACCAGTTACATCTCCGACCTTTATCAGTTTGGTAACCACCACCACTACCTCGGTCTCCCTCCAACTTGTCCTTCATATCTCTATCCTCTCTCATTCTCCTATTCTCTCTCCTCACCTTGACTCCATCGTGTCCCATCTTTGTCTCCTTTCCCTTACTATATATATATATATATATATATATATATATATTATATATATATATATATATATATATATATATATATAGCCTTTGATGAAGCGAAAGAGATATTTCTATAAAGATGTACACCAGATAAGATGAAGGATTTCCAAATATTGCATGAATTGTCCTTTCGTCGTTAAATCTCAACTTGGTTGTTAGTTTTATAAATATGACCATCATTGGTCTAAAATAATAAAAAGACTAACTTAGTAAAAACTCTAACTACAGGGACTAAATTAGTACAAGCTCTAACCTAATATCCATTCTCTCCGACCCTCGGTTACACATGACACGCCCACTACCTCCATCCATGTGACTCCCCTCTCTCTACCTCCATCAGTGCGACTCCCTTATCCCCGCCTTGGTCACCACCATCAACCACCACTATCACCTCACTGCATCGTGCAGAGACGCACATTAGAAATTGCCAACTATCACAAAACGTTAGAAAAGTAACTTCGTTTTAGGTTCTAGGTTTTCAATTTTCGCTGGAGTAATTAACTCGATTTATAGAAGTGGAGTGGTTTGAATTGATCAGAAAGAGTGTGAAAAGGAGAAACATAAACTACATACACGTAAAGCCCCAACAACGACATTATACAAAACTTTATATGCCTACTAGTGATAGATTTTTGAAACTTTTTTTAACATAGCCCCAAATTTGTAATACTCCAGTACTTTCCACCGGCTCAAAGTGTATACAATGGACATTTTATATTAGATTTATAGGTCAACATTTTTTTTTTACCGCTGCGACATTATGAGAACAATTGTCAAATGATGTACAACAAAGTACAAACTTTGTTTTCTAAGTTATAAGTATTGATTTCATTTCGTAATATATTAAATAAAGCAACCCCCATGTGTGACGAACCAAACATTTCCAGGGCTATATTACCGAACATGAGAATATTTATATGAGAGTCGAGAACAAGAAATTCGGATTCGGGATCACATAATATGAAATTTGAGAGAATAAAATCTGTCAAGAATACAATTTTTTTAAAGTGTTTTTGAGTTGCGTTGAAACCAAACTAACCCACAAGTCTAATCCGTCCAAGCGTCAGCCTCTAAATGGGGCAACTGGTATGATTGGTGAGGCCTATAAATGTGTTCTTCCTTAAAGGAATGCTTTATTTTTTTTACTGTTTGGGGCCAGATCCTGACCCAAATCAGATATGCGTTCCAAATGCCGACCAATTGCAAGTTTGCAACAATAACAAAAGTTATTTAACTAATAAAAAGATTTTATTAAATGGAACAGACTAATAGACTGTGAGCAACCGAATATACATGATTTTCAATAGTTTGGCCCATTAGTTAGTATGTTACAAAATATAACTTAAGGTGGTTTATTTTTACATCTAATCGTAATCCTCTCCATTTATAAGCTCCCAAATGTGAAAATTTTAAAATACAAACCTAAAAATTAAAATTATTGCAAAATACGTGTTCGGTTATAATTAACTGATTAAGAAATAACAAATTTATTTATTTGAGTCTTCAATTCTTGTTGAAACACCTGTCAAGAAAAATGGGGTTTTAATTGAGGGTCATTAAATGGTTGTCATTTATCATTATTTATGGTTACATTATTTTGTTTTGTTTTATAGTAAGATATATTTTTTTGTCCTTTAATACAGTTGATTTTTGTAGTTTTAATTCCAAAACAAATTATATTGCAAATTTGATCTTCCTTTGATGTTTCTATAACAGTTTCATTGTGATATGATGGAAGTATTGGGTAAAATTCAGGTGCTTTTATCAGAAAAGAATAAAAGTCCGGCATCGTTGATTGATAAACACAAGTGCATGTTTTCATTTTTCAACATAATAAAAACATATATAATATTCCCAGAATCTCATGATCCAATGTTATCATAATAAAACATATCCCATAATCTCAAAACATAATCCCCTGCCAGTGTGTACAAATCATGACGGCGCCTTCCTGCGATCCTCGTTGGTACCTAAAACACATATCACATAACACGGTAAGCATAAATGCTTAGTGAGTTCCCCAAAATACCACATACAACACATAAGCCACTCGAGGCTATAACCCGGTATGACCCTCTGGTCAAAGTGTCTCAGCGGGACCCTCCAGTCCCGTAGCTCGTTGGACCCTCCAGTCCGGTCTAGCTCGTTGGACCCTCCGGTCCGGTCTAGCTCGTTGGACCCTCCGGTCCGGTCTAAATCGTTGGACCCTCCAGTCTGGTCTATACAACACATAGCATACATATATCACAATGCACATAAACTTATCATACATATAACACGTAAGACCCTCCGGCATGCACATAGATACCACTCTAGGTAATGTATAGTGAGAAGACTCACCTCGGGTAACTCGGTAAATCTCGAACTCGGAAATACTGATCTAGCCTCCGCCTAATCACATAAAATAATTACTCCAATCAATACGACTCTCAAAGGCTAGGCTACTCCCTCTCTAAGTTCTCTCAGGAGGGTAGAGAAGACCATTTTAACCCTCCAATGGCTCAAAAGTCCAAACATTCACTGGACCCTAAAAGCCAACGAAAGTCAACGGTCAACTTTGACCCGACTCGTCGAGTGCACATAGGTGACTCGGCGAGTCCAAGTGTGTCCTCTGGGTCTATCTAAACCTCACTCGACTCGCCGAGCGAACCTTCCACTCGACGAGCCACCACTGGTTATGAATCGCGGGTCAACCCGACTCGACTCGTCGAGTCCCTTATGGACTCGGCGAGTTCCTTCCATGGCAACACTCAAACGACCTTCTGAGGTCAGATCTGCTTCACCAACTAGTAGATCTGGCTTCTAGCACTCGAAAGTCACGTAAAGTTCGAACTTTAGGCCCATGCATCACACTATCATCTCTATATCCAAAATAACCCTTAATATAATAACCTAGGCCCCAAAAACTCATAAAGGATTGCATAAAGCTGAAGAATAGGGACTCTTTGGACCTCTCAAGGTCCAGATATGCTAATATTGTCACAAGGGGACATCACACACACTAGATCTCTTACCAAAGTGAAGAGATGAAACCCTAGATTCATGAAATCTATTACTCAAATGAAGATAGACATGAATCCTTACCTCCCACAGCAGCTCTGAACGAAATGATGGAAGATTTGAGTCCTACAAGTCAGCCTAGCTCGAAATCCTTCCTTCTCTTTGCTAAAACACACCAAAGAATGATGAATTAGCCCTCCTCTTGCACTACAAGCTTTCTCCCTGCTCTCTAGGGTTTCTCAGGGGTGTAGTGGCCGCAAATGAAGGCCATAAAGGTCTTTAAATAGGGCACATGCCCCAAGACTTAGGGTTTCTGTCCACAGCGCGGACTCGTCGAGTCCATCCATCGACTCGTCGAGTCCATTCATTAATCCAGTCAGCAAAACGCGATCCTACTCGACGAGTCTAGGCGTCAACTCGTCGAGTCCCTCCTCAAAACTTAAAATAAATGCATAACATAGAATACCCGGGAATCAGGATGTTACAATTCTCCCCTACTAGAATCAGACTTCGCCCTCGAAGTCTCGCTCCGCAAATAACTCAGGATGCTGCTCCCGCATCTCCGCCTCCGGCTCCCAAGTCAACTCGGACCCTCTCCGATGTTGCCACTGGACTTGAACCAGGGGCACCTCCTTGCTTCGCAGGACCTTGATCTTCCGATCCAGGATCGCGATCAGTCTCTCCACATAATTAAGGCTCGCATCCACCCGAATATCCTCCAGCGGCACCACTGCCGACTCGTCGACTATACACTTCCTCAACTGAGACACGTGGAAGGTATCATGTATCTGGCTCAACTCCGCAGGTAGCTCCAAACGGTACGCTACACTGCCTACCCTCGCTGTCACCCGGAACGGACCAATGTACCGGGGTCCCAGCTTGCCCCTCTTCCTGAATCGGATTACTCCTTTCCAAGGAGATACCTTCAGGAGAACGAAGTATCCCACCTGGAACTTGAGCTCGGATCGTCGCCGATCCGCATAACTCTTCTGGCAACTCTGAGCTGTCAACAGCCTTTGCCTGACCTGCTGAATCTGCTCAGTCGTCTGAAGCACTATCTCGGTGCTACCCATCACACACTGCCCTACCTCTCCCCAACAAATGGGAGTCCGACATCTCCTCCCATACAACAACTCGAAGGGAGGCATACCAATACTCGAATGGTGGCTTGTTGTATAAGAAAAACTCAGCCAATGGCAAGTACGTGTCCCAACTTCCTCCGAAGTCCAACACACATGCTCGAAGCATGTCCTCGAGCATCTGAATCGTCCGCTCACTCTGCCCGTCCGTCTGTGGCTGGTACGCGGTACTGAAATGCAGCCTCGTTCCCAACTCCTCATGGAATTTCTTCCAGAATCCGGAAGTGAAACGTACATCTCGATCTGACACAATCGAGATCGGTACTCCATGACGCGATACTACCTCTCTCACATACAACTGTTGGATTAGTGTCTAAGCCCGTAACTATATTTGGTATGTACTTGACCCGGTTATGCATGGTCCTTTTGGGTTGCCTTCACCAAAGCAACTTGACAAGGTAATTTGATATGAGAGAGAGGATATTATGGTTTATTAATATATTATAAGAATAATATATTAAAGGAGAAATCATATTTATTTAATTAGTATTAGTCATAAATTAATTAGGAGCTAATTTGGTGACTAAAAGAGATTAATTAAACAAGGGGCATAAACTATTAAATGTGTGATAGTTGAGTTTTGGGCTGGGAAACCTAATGGACTAAGGGGGAACGAAATTATGATGAAGGATCATCATATTTTCGTCCAAGGGCCTTATTCCAGAAGGTTCCTTAGGCTACTTGGTGGCTAAGGTATCCAGTAGGGTTTAGACTGAAACCCTAGCAGCCTGCACTATAAATAAGACCCCAAGGATCCAATTTTCGGCTACTTGCTTCCAAGAGAAACCCTAGGGCCGATTTTAGCATCATCTCTCC